AAGTACTTCTGCAGTCTTTTATTTTTATTTAATTTTATTTTTTTGTTTTTTTTTTAACTTTACTGGGGAAGAGTGTGTTTTTCCCAGGACCCATCAGCTCCAAGTCAAGTTCTTGTCCTTCAATCTTAGTTGTGGAGGGCGCAGCTCAGCTCCAAGTCCAGTTGCCATTTTCAACCTAGTTGCGGGGGGAGGCACAGCCCACCATCCCATGCAGAAGTTGAACCGGCAGCCTTCTTGTTAAGAGCATGCACTCCAAACAACTGAGCCATCCGGCCACCCACCGGCAGCTCAGCAGTAGCTCAACTCAAGTTGTCTTCAATCTAGTTGCTGAAGGCGCAGCTCACTGGCCCATGTGGGAATCGAACTGGCAACTCTGTTGTTCAGAGCATGCGCTCGAACCAACTGAGCCACCCGGCGGCCCTTATTTTCATTTTTTATTTATTTTCTTTTATTTGATTGATTTATTACTTTATTTTTACAATTAATTTTTAAAATTTTATTTTATTTTTATGTATTTTCTTTTTCTTGTCTATTTTATTTTATTTATTATTTTTCATTATTAATTTTTTAAAATTTATATTTAATTTAATTTTATTTTCTAAAATTTATTTTATATTTATTTTATTTAACCCACTGAGAGACACTGGGTTAAAAACAGACTCTTGGGGGCCCGCCGAGTGGCTCAGTTGGTTAAGAGCTTGCTCAAGAGTTTGAGCTCTGAGCAACAGTGGTTTGATTCCTGGCACAAGCTGAGCAGCTGCTGAGCTGCCAACAGGTGGCAGGATGGCTCAGCTTAAAAGAAACACACACACACACACACACACACACACAAAACAGACTCTGGAGCTAGACTACTAGGTTCAAAGCCCAGTTCTGTTCTACAAGCTGTGTAACTCTAGACAAGTTACTTCACCTCTCTGTTCTCCAGTTTCCCCAACTTTAACATGGCAGTGATAATAGCGGTACCCACCTCATTGGGTTGCTGTGAAGATTAAATGAGTTAACCTGAGTAAGGACAGCTTCAGGCACATAGGAAGATTTCTAAAGGCTTTGTTGTTTTATCATTATTAATCGTGTTATTAATTCACACAGTGGTATGAGGTAGATGTTTGTATTGCCTCTTCTTTATAAGGAAGGAAGCTGAGGCACAGAGAGGTTAAGTAACTGGCTCCCAGTCACACATGTAAGACTGGGCCGATGCTATCATGCCTATGCTACAGTAATCCCCAGAGCAGTACCATGCTGACTAGCTGTCTGTCTGTCTGTCCTTTTATTCCTGACTTCCCTTCCCTCAACATTGCTCAGCCGGAAGGAATCAGAATGAACAAAACTGTGGTTGTTCGCACACTGAATCCAGAAAACCTGGGCCAAAGTGAGTTGTTGTAGGTGAGGGTGCGGCCTCGGTGGTGCTGCCGGGCGTGGTGGGAGGAGACTGGTGCCATTGGTGTCCCCATTCAACCGCAGATGGTGTGCAGCGAGAGGAGGTCGAAGCCGCAGACCTCAGCGACCAAGTCCCCGACACGGAGTCGGAGACCAGGATCCTCCTGCAGGGTGAGATGCCCTTGGTCCAACCCCTTGGTCCATGGAGCCCAGGATGGTGTCGAGGGCCGTGACCCCTGAGAAGGGAGCCCACT